TAAAAAACAAAGCGTACGACAATTGAACTAAACTGAACTAAACTAATCTAAGCGAGAAACTCAGTTTTACTTATTAAATATTCAGAGCGCTACAATCTAAGTTGCTACGCCTCTATGGTTAAAACTGCAATAAACCTCAAGAAATCCACCCTCGTTCCCAATAGATGACAAAGAGAATGGCAAACGCCTAATGGCCCACAAAAAAATTCAATTCAAGCAAGTTGCTTTAACAGAACATATAGAGAGTAAATTCTGAAAAAAATTTCTAAATTACCAATATTAGATTCGAAATAAAATAGAAAAAGAATCGTGAAGAATTTTCGAAACCCTATAATTCTACAAGCATAACATGCTATAGATCTGCAATCAATTGCGAAATGCTCATCTCTTGACTTTGCTCAGCTCTTTCACGTTTAATACATTGTTCTATGAAGAAACTGTGATTCAAACTAACGCCCATCACCGAACAATCCTCATAGTGGTCGGTGCTGGAAGCGCCGACCGCGTATCCCTATAGGACAATATCGGGATGTTCCTCACCATTCATTTGGGTTGCATTTGCTGGCCGAACAGTAGGCGTTGGAACACCTGCGGTTACAGCCGGGGAAGGGGTATACATTTGTCCGGGTCGAATCGGCTTCACGATTTGTGGCGTGTTCTGTCGACGCATGTTACGTTGTCGTACAGCATCCTTGATGCGCTCCACCTAAGCAATTAATTAGACCTCGACAAACATTCTGAGTTTCTCAGATTATGAAAGCGTAATTACCTCCTGCTGATACTTCCTTCGCTCAAGTTGCGAACGCTCCTTCGTTTCCCGTAGAGCCGTCTCAAGCTGCTTGATGCGATCCTCTCTTCCGCGTAGTCGAGCTTCCATCTTTGGTAGTTCAACGCGAAGGTCAGCGTTGTCACGCACAAGCTAAAACATCTTCTATCTCCAGCAGAATGAGTACAACTACATCCAACGTGAAAACCGAACACGTTCAAATAATGGCCGAATAACTGCTGCATTTCCTTTAATATATTCTTCACAATCTGAATCCTTTTTCAAAAATGTTTTAGTTTTTCTATAAATTGCTGATTGCGCACGTATTGTTTTTTCTTGGATCTAAAAAACTAGCCACATCTATGTCAAAGGCAAGAAATATATGGATACCTGTTTGTGGACCTTGGTGAGCTTGTCCAGGTTGTTCTCGAGGAACTGAATTCGTTGTTTCTGCGCGGGGCCAGAAAGACAGTCTTCCTCAACGTCGAGTCCAGCCTGGCATCGCGACAGGATCATGCGGACAAACTCCTTCTTCAAGTTCTTCAGCGTGGCCAGTTCCTGTAAAGATGACCATCGAAACTAAGAGCGATTATCCCACTGGATTTCCAACAGATAATAGCCAAGCAAGAAACAGGCAAAAAATAGACAGGAATGAAATAATGGGAATAAAACACCAAAACAGAATCAAATAAATACTAATAAATCAATAATCTCAAGATTTCTCTCCGTTTGGCCTTTGGGATTAGAAATTTTCTATTAGGGTGGAAAGACTTACCACATTGACTCTATCAGAAAGTGGTTTAAGCTCTCGCGCGGCTTGATCTTTCACAAGGAGTTGCTTCAGCTTGTTCGCATCTTGTCCTTGTACTGAATTCATTTCCTCCAGTTTCTTCTCGGCAGCATGTGCTTCAGCTGAGTTCATCTAAACCATGAGAATGTGAGAATGCTCAGCAACAAAAGAGAGGAAAAGAGGTTTTTATTCTAAGAAAAAAATGAGAAAAACTAGTCACCTCCTTTGCAGCGCTGTTCTCGCTGAACAACTTCGAAACACCAATTCGCATAAGGTTGAGAAGCTCATGATCAGGAAGAGTGTCATTCTGGTTTACCTGAAACAAGTAGAAACATAGTGAGCTGTATGTGGTACATATATCCTACCAATAAAATTAATCAAAGTCATAGTTCGCTTTATCCACAACTCACAAGCGAAATCACAGAATAAGGAAACGAATTTTGAAAGAATGCAGAAGAATTTTTAAAGTAAAA